AAATATATATATATATATATATATATATATATTTTTTAAATTTTCTCCATCTTTATTGTGTTTTTAGTGGCATTTTTACCCAGAGTCTCCTTTTCTTTTCACAGGAGGGATCACATGGTATCATTTAAAATTAGTATTGCACCGATACTGATACAAGTATCGTGCGGGACCCCCCCCCCCAATCTAGCACTGAAATAATGGTATCGGTATCGGCGAGTACAAGGGTGTAACTTTGTAATGAAAGCTGGTGGGGACGCTCTAAGGGTGCGGGCTGATGGACCTACAGTTACTCCACCCAACGCTTTCATTAGGTTTTTGTATTTTCCAAAAATGAGCTCAAACATATATTTATTTAATGCTTTCTTATTGCTGAGAACACAAGATATTTTATTCTTTTAAATTCTCTGTTAAACTTGGAGATATATTTTATTGCTTGTTGCATACCCCAATAAATCTGTTTCACCTTAAAATCTGCAGCTCTCCCTACTTCTCTCTGTGCTGTTTAAGAAGATCTATGAACCTCTTTACTAATATAATGATGCCAGAAACAAAATTTCAAGATATGTAGAAGCTCTGCCGTCTGATTCTATCTGTTCAATAAGAAAACGTGTTCATTTAAAATTGTTACTGGGAGACATGGTTCTTTGAGAAGCCCAGCTTTTATAATGAAGAAGAACAGAACATTTAAACTATATTTTCTCAAGCTTTTTGCATTATAATACAAACTTAAAAATGTTGCCTTTTTTGCAGAAAAAGCTCTAACGAACTGATTTTTCGGAGGCACCTCTAATTTTTTCTCACTTTTACTTTAACATGAAAGTAGCTGCTGGTTAATATTCACTGAGTGCTGCTGTGTGTCTCTCCTCCAACCACGTACATGACCTGTTAGATCTCAGTGCTGCATTTGATCATAATATTCTTTTAGAAATACTTGAATATTTTGTATGAATTAAAGAAAGAGCACTAGACTGGTTTAAATCATACAAAATATTCAAGTATTTCTAAAAGAATATTATGATCAAATGCA